GTTGATTGACCTAGGGATCTCATCCATCCATTTTTTGGCAGACACCAGGGCATCAGCTTCAACAACATGGTTGGGTAGCTTGTTCTATACTCCCACAAAACTTTGGGTAAACAAATGCCTCCTTTTCTTGGTTTTAGATGCACTTGCACATAGTTTCTACTTGTGCTGTCTGGTTCATGTTTCAATGTTCATTGACAAGACGTCATAGGGCATAGGGTAAGCTAGGGTCCATATTTCCAATAGGGTACATATTGAAATTCTCTGTGGTCACCCGTCAGGTGTATGGCTCTTCCCAATTTTGTGGACAGCAAGTGCTGAACTGTTTTGTTCTTGTCTTTAAGTGTCAATGGTCTGTCATTCCATATCATCTGAACATAATAATATTAACTTTTTTAAGTAGAGTTTTTCAATTTAAGGAAAAAGGGTCACCTAGAAATGCAGGTACAAAGGTACAATACAAGAAAAATTGACCTAACAGAAAAAATAGATTATATCATTATAACATTAAAAATGTTATAAATAAATGTATGTTTTTTATGTATAGTTCAATTTATATGTGTACTAGAAAGACATGCATGTACTACACATTCGATGTGGAAATATAGCCTACCTGCTGTATCTGGACACATTTGTTTTAAGACACATTGCTAGTTTTTTATATTACTGTAAAAATTACATGCCTCTTGAAAATATAAAAATTGATCAGTCATGTGCCATGTTACAAATTACATTTGTCCTTTGATCAGGACAGAATAATTACCAGAATCCTTCACCTAAAACTAAATTAAAATTACTTCAAGAACATCTGATTGATGAGTACTGAAAACTACAAATTCATGAGTACAGCACCACTGAATTAATAACTTGAAATTGGCTGATGCACAATAATTGTGATTGATGCCTGTAAAGTCTCTGATGACATAAAATCACAATCCGAAAACTGTAACTTTAAATACAAAAGCAAAAACAAATTCCTGTAATGAGGTGTGATAGGCCAGTAACTAGACAAAACAGAACACATTACAACACATTGTTACTGTAGGTAATTTCATAATCATTGATTAGGCAACAAAATAGTAAAGAATGTCTTGGTAAAATAATGTTTTTTACTACATTTTTTTTCTGAATTACTTGCAAACATCTATCATCTAACATCTAGTAAATGTCTTTTACATGTTCAGAAAGTTGTTTATTCTACACTTCTAAATATTACATACTATAGCTTTATATCTAATGCAGTCTGTCTTAAATAGTGCTGAGGACATGTTTCAAGGCTCCAATCAATTTATTCTATTTACCGCAAGACACAAAGAATGGACCGAGTTAATTCAGAAAAAAAAAGCTTAATATTTCTAATAGCAATAAGAAACTATGTTACATTGTTTTGACCTTTTACATTTTTTGTTTACTGACAATACCAACTTAACTGTCTCTTAAACCCATCTTACAACAGGAAAAAGTTACACTACAAACTATAATATATAGTATAATATTTGCTTATGAAACACTAAACTTGCAAAGGTAACCTGTGCTTCATGTAGAGAGGCATTTGGGCAGCATGTTAATTTCACAATCATAGAGTTTACCAGGAATAAACAGACAAGCTTGTGAAAATGAAACTGATTACACATTGGGATGATAAAACTTTGATGACAAATGTCAACTTAAAGGAAACATTATCATTCAATTTGATAGTAACGGCTGCCTGTTCATGTTGGCAACAGACTGACTTTTCGTTGTTTGAGCCGACACATTCAAATACCTTAAATATGCCATATCATCTCTCTAACAATAATATAAAAGTCAATTTTATTTAATAAAATAAAACAATTTCTGTAGACATAGAATGCCTTAAACTTTCTTCTGACTCCTCCTTGATAACATACTATATGCACACCTCTGTTAATTGAAAAGAAATCATATTTTATCTTTTTTGGCAGCTTTACTGTAGCTTCATAAAACACATAACAAAAAACTTAATTAAACCAAAGCACAAAAGGGTGCAAATCTGTGATGATCACAAAAGAGAAAAAGGTGTCGAACATTAGAGAGATTTTTGTGTGGATACTTAATTTAAATCTTCGTTTGTCAATCTTTTAGAAGTGGTACCTAACACAAGCAACATCCTATTTCATCAACCTACTGAAGCCACAGAGGCTCAAGGCAGCAAACAGATGCTGGAAAAGACCCTGTGTTCTTCATGTGTTCACCATGTGTTCGTCATGGGCAGGGATTCCAGTCACCAAAAAGTCACATACAAAGACTGTCAGACATCGATCTACTGAAGCCAAAGCTACCTAGAATTTCAGACTGTCCCCCACCATGAGCTTTGACCCTGCAGAGAAACAAGGGGCTTTCTTGACTGGAATGGTCTTACTCGATCTGCCATCCATCTGCCCAAACTGGCAACACAGAGCGCACTGAGACAACCCGAAACACAGACATCTCCCAACTGTTCACCAGAGAGAATTGGCCCGTGTACTCAGTAACAAACCCAAAAATCACTCTCTGCCTAGAATTTAATTTTAGAGAAAACAACACGCATTGTCATTGTTTTAACAGGTTACTTGCATGCTGTGAAATACATCTTCAGAGTCTGAAAAGACAAATGGGAGTACAGCACATGAAGGAAAATACTGTACAAAGGTTTAGAAAAGTTACCTAAAACAAAAAAAACACAGTTTCTCTAGAAATTAGCTGTTTTGCTAGCCACTTGTGGAATTTATAGCAAGTAGAATCAAACTGAAGGAATGGTAGAGTTTTTTGATCATGTAAAAAGGACATCAGGTTTTAAACTTCCTCCTAATCTCATGTATAAAAAGGCACAATTTGTACTGTGTTTATATTATATAAATAACTTTCTTCATGTTTACATCACTTCAGGTCACCTCAAAAAAGAGGCACATTACCTCACCGTTCAGTTGTTATCAGAAAAGCTTTTATTCTCATAATGGAAACTCAGAGACTACCCTAGACTAGAAAAACAGGCTGCAAGGCAGGACACAATGCCAGTCCATTGAGACATTAGTTAACCGAGTCGGCTTGCATTTGAAAGGAGGAAGATGGAACACCTAGAAAAGCCACACAAAAACACAGGGCAAGCATGCAAACTCCACACAGAAGGCACCACACTCCAGACACTGAACCTACAACCCAGGACCTGCGAGGCAGCAGTGCTAACCATAACCTTATCAACTTGTCATTCAACTAAAGCATTATTCCACTGGGATTCAGGAAGGAAAACTTTGACTCCTATCTCTTCTCTATCTCAAATGACATAACACTTAAGACTCTGATAACCCTGTTTTTGAAATAGTGTTTATACAATAAAATCAAATAGACCTTGAAAGAAAGCGGTTTTAACATTATTAATACTATATTTTACATAATATGAAGCGCATTTTAAGTAAATGTTTAGTAAACTTCTGTGCTATTTCTCTTCTCTGAAAAAAAAATCCTTAAAGTACATGTTTTATCTATTTTGCACGTCGCAGGCACAAGGTTTGCGCAGTTAAGTGCTCCAGTTCATCAACAAGACTTCGAAAGAGGAATCCTGCGGGGCTGATGTCTCCACTTGGTTTTAACTAATCCTACCGATCCGAGAAACCAATATTGCCTTTAAATTTAAGAAATTCTACCACTAAAACAAATTTCCTGCATTATTTACTTTTCCTGTATATTGACTATAGAGAACTCTCAGAATTTCAAGCGGGGTTTTTTTTTTTTCGGATCAGCAGACAGATGTGCCATTGACTTTATACTGGCACAGTAGCGTTTGACCTACTACTCCCCTTACTGTGGATTCTGCCAGCCTCTAACAATGAAGATCTTGTTACACTCAAAGAGTTGATGGACAATACGAAAATGATACCAATTTAAAGTTTTCAAACACAGATAAAACGTATAATTGGCATTGCATTTGCTTTTGGTGTGCTTTATCTTTTCTGAGAATTACTGTACTTTCGATTTCAGGACGAGATGACTGGGCACTCGGAACACTTCAACCTGCTGGTTTATTCGGTGGTTTGTAGTAGTCGTCGTGCCACCTATTTTATTGCGAGATATTTGTTCACGAATGATCTGGATATGTTTTGTATGACATCGTAAACAGAATGACTTTGTCTTACCCATTTTATTAAAAATGTGATTTTGAAACTGGACATGAAGGAATCTTTGTTTTATACATTGTACACTGGCACTGATGCTTGTTTGACTACTGTATATACCTGTGCGACGTCTTCTTGTAAAATACAGTAGATGATTAACTTCATTTCATATAGTTCGCTATTATTTAAGTCCGCAAATACTGAAATACTTAACGTTTCCCTTCACTTTTGCAGCATAATACTCCACAATAGCGCTTCTCCATTCCTCGATTACCAAATGACTTACAACGCAATACATTTCTCTAAAACACCATAACGTATCCATCCAGATACCACGAAATAACATTTGCCTGATCATTAAGGAACGCATTTATTCATTTAAAATAAGAATCACTCCGTAAAAAAAGTTAACATATCAGTTTTCCCTGTTGTGATTATCAGTTGCCTTGCACTTTGCGGGCATCCCATTCTTGTAGGTCTTTTGAAACTATAATAATGTAACGCTACGGGGGCTATAATAATAATAATAATAATAATAATAATAATAATAATAATAATAATAATAATATGTACCTCTTTATTTCCTAAGGCTTTGCACTGATGTTAATTCGATACTCATACGACAAACGCAGAACAAATTCTAGTGTAAGGTAAGAAGTAATCTGCTGTACTCCTTATTCCCGCAACAAGGAAGCACTGTACCGGTACTACAGTTTCCCACGCTGCCTTTGTATCTTGAACAAACTACAGATATACAAACGCGAACAAAGCAATACGAGATTGTTTCAAAGCTTAGTGTATTAAAACTTTACTCCCGGGTCATTAAATTACTATTAACAAACAGTTGCATGTCTTCAGGAAAGGTCTTGTACAAGTTATCTTTCTTTCACTTACCTCTCTTGTCCTGTATACTGCAACAGCCAAGAGTGAGCAAGGAAGACAGGACGATCGCAATTTCGAATTGCATTGCTGCGAGTTTTCTTGAGCTCTTCGTTTCTTCTCTTCTCCTTCAAATATGTTATTTTTTATTCCATACTGGTACTGACAAAGTTTGTGTGGTGAATAAAGCCTCTACTTTCTCCCTCTCTAGCTGTCAAAGGGAAATAGTAGGAAATTTTGGGAAGGCGTCAGCAGCGTTACTTTTCTTTCCTTAGCACAGAAACTTTGACAGCTCCTCCTTCGTTCTCCTGAATTACTTGTGGCGAGAACTGAGCCGAATAAAGTCTCTCAGCCAGCGGAGGTTCTGACGTCACCACTGGGAGGGGGATTATTGCGCTGCAGATAAATGCATTAACAGGTAAAGTAAATCCTGCCGACTGACATGATTCACAACTTCTGCTCATGTGCAGTTGTGCCAGGTATGTTCTGTGCGATGTTGAAATTCACTGCTTTCCGGTATTTCGTAATTCTCCAGCATGTACTAAGCAAGCGCTATCAGTTTCGAACTCGCGAAATTTATTATTGATCTTCAGGAATACTGTAAAACGTTATGCCGTTTGTTCACAAACATCACTTTTGTAACGGAAATGACCACTTTAGTGTGGTTTTACTTATCCGCATGTTGTGTTATTATTATTGTTATTGTTGGTGGTGAAAGTGTTGCTTCCAAATCCTTAAACAAACAATAAAACAATGGCTTCGACAAAGTCTGTGTAGAGAGGATATTACTCAAATCAACCTAGAGAGAGAGAGGTAAATTAAATAGACACCCACTGTGATTTAAACAGGCAGTTCAAGCCACATCATAATCACATAAGTGCCTGCTGTAGCAGGTTAAATGTTTAAGCCTGCAGCCATTTCACAGACAGGAAACTGATGAAAACCAGTAGATTTTTCCCCCCCAAGTTTGAACATTTTCAACAAGCAGGAACATAACACGAGTAATGCCGTTTTCAACGATACTTTAGGATCCACTGGAATAAGGTGTAAGAAGCTGTCTGCTCTCAAATGAGTGACAAGTGTTTATGTGTTCATCCTCTGCTGTACTGTATGCTCTCCTAGTCAACAGAACAGATATTTCAAGTTATAAAATGTGGAAAGGAAAGCAAGCCTGACATTGTAGTGCAAATGTAGCAGAACGTGTGCAGGCACCCAGAGAAGACCATCTGATGTTATCTCCACAGCCTGGGTACAACAGCCGAGCAACCAGACAAAGACAGCTTCTCATTCCATGCAGTGTCATTCGTCAACTACTGTGGAAAGTGGAGGTCCTACCACACCCTCCTGTCTTCTGGAGGACTCGCATTTCTACCCCAACCCCCACTGCATTGCCCTGCCCACACACACAATCCAGGTCTTTACAGCTGTCACATAGTAGTCACACACAGGTGTGCTCATCCCAGCACAGGAGGTTTACCTGGAACTTCTGCAAGCCACCACTGAATATAGTTTCTTTACGGTATACAGTAACTTGCAGCTGGGACAAGAGATAAGAGACTAGCATACTATAGCTGGGGAAATGCAAATGAACTTCTGCATTTTTGCAGCTCTGCCATGGCATGTTCAATTACTGTACATGAACAGTAATTGAACATGCCATGGCAGAACATACAGTATAGGCAATATTGGACTGATCTCTGCTGAAGCATCCCAACTTATTTAAGGCCAAGAATACAGTAGGCTGAGGTTCTGCAGACCAGAATTACCAATCCCTTTCATGACCAAATGCACACAGCAAAATACAGAACCACAAAGCATTAAAAGTATATACTGTATAGTATATATGAGAGTTCTGTATTGTGCTACACTTTCAAATATTGTTTTTAGGTTGAATCTTGATAACTCAGAAAAATGTGGTCTTGTTTGAAGTCAAGTGTGCACAATCGAATTTGAGTTCTCATTAATCTAACATGGGAAAGGTGTCAATGTTTATGCAGAATAAATAACTAGACATGGAGATTTCACTACAAAAGGTTTAATAGGTGTTATGTTTGTTACAGATTACAGCCAGGGGCACAATTGAGCATAACACATTTTTAACAAAGTATTTCTAACAGTATTTTCTACAAAACTACAGTACAACTTGGTTAGACAGAATACAGTATCAATTTAAAAATGAGGTCTCTGTGAAAGTTTTCCTTTCCTGATGCCTTTGTACCAATATGAGAAGCTAATTTCACTGCAATTGCATGCAGTTGAATCAAAATAATACTGTTTACTGCTGCCAATGAAAGAACCAGCACCATGATAATATCAATGAATTGTGAGGGCTGTTTCCTTAGGAAGCAGACAAAATTACACAAAGTAATTATTTAGAATGTATCTTCAAGAATCACTCTATTCTGATGTACTACAGTACAACATCTAATATGAGCAGTCACAGGACATTTGGTTTGGGATTTTTTTTTCCTCTGGTCATTCATTCATGAAGTAATGATGTACATTATGGCATAATTTAGGTTGTCTGCCTTACAAAAACAGAAAGAAGTCCCTTTCATTGAGCACACAGAAACATTCTAATTTTGCCATACAGTAGTACTGTAATTTGCCATAATGAAAACAAGATCCAAATGCTAACTCTGATCCTTTACATTTGCACATTTAAATTGTTCATTTAAATGTCATTTAATGACATCATCATTTAATGATGCAGTGCAGACACTTTTTACTTGCAGTATGATCCCCTTCCCCACTAAGAAGAGAACTACAAAAGGCACATTTTAATCATCCACAAAAGGAATTGTTACAATTGAAAGTAATCTACAGACGAATGAAAGAACAAGGTACAGCATGCACTGCAAAATCTGACGTCAACTACAGAGCTTTGCGTCTTTTGGAATGTTTGTATGCATATCAATGTAAATCATAGGATAGGTTAACACAGCACAAGTTGGCTTCAAGTGTGTACAGTGAACTGGGGAGGGTTATCTTGAACACACAACTGCTTTTTCAGCCCCTTAGATTTACATCTACTGTAACTTTAGTTTGCACTAGAAGGTGGAGCTGCATGTCCTTAATACAACTGATAAATATGTCCCTGAAATTAAATTGTATATAAAATTTCTGAAACAAAACACCTTTGCAGTCATTTGCAAAGGAATTTAGGCTTTTGATTTCATTTATAAGAAACTAAACAATAATGATACTAAAGCAATGATACCGTATGCACTGACTTTAGCGAAGAGAAACAAACTTGAATGAAAAAACGAGCAAATAATCATTGTTAGCAGCACATGCAAATGGCAAGGGCACCATGCTAATTAAGTAGTTATTGTTAATCCAGAGTGAAGTAAAACAATTTTATTCTTGGAATAGAATGAGACAGTCTTATTAAATTAGCTATAAAACATACATTCACAGCTAAATTGAAACTAGCAAACAATGTTTTATTATTATTATGTCAACAAAACATAGGTAGAAAATTATAATTTATATATATAAATTATAGTTTAATAAAACTTTTAACATTTAAAAAGTATCTTATACTGTATACTGATATACGTAATTGTATTTGACTGCTATACACTATGTACTGCAAGTATGAACTTTTCAAATCTTAAAAAAACAAAATAAGCTAAAATGTAACACTTGTAATCAATTATTAACCTTTAGGAGAGGAGCAACTTCTTTTTTATGGGTATATTTGCATACTGTATATTTAAAACAATCTTCTTGATTAGTCTTCAATTTGATTTTCTTTTCACATATGGATTACTTGAGAACTGATCAAGTACTTCTTATGGTACCGCTGTATCACCTGCAAGTACACAGCCAACACCACACTCATTCAAGGCCCCTCAGGACAGTTCCGGATCACCCAGACAGCATCTTGTACCTCCAGCAACCTTATTTACTGTATCTCTTGCAGTAAATGCCCAGCCATCTACATTGGAGAAACAGGAAGGAGACTCGGAGACCGCTTCAGAGAACACATAAGGGCTGTGAAGATTAAAGATCTCTCCAAGCCCATTGTTTCTCATTTCACCTCTGACGGCCACGACCACTCTAATCTCTCCGTCTGTGTTCTCAAAGACGGTTTTCCAAACTCATACATCAGAAAGACCACCGAAACTAAAATTATTCTGCAGCTAGGATCACACATTCTCCCTTCCCTTAACGACAGACTACTGTTCTTTTAAATTTTCTCCATTCATTGGAAGTTTCATTTCACATCTCTGCACCCATTCTGACTTCACACCTCTTGATTGGCCTCTCTTTCTGTCCCCTGCTCCCGCCTCTCACTCCTCCTCCCTCCCAACCTTTCTTCTCCCGCTACTTTACCTTTGCCTACTGCCCTGTCTCTCTCACACCTGAAGAAGGCTCCACGGCCGAAATGTTGTGTTCTCTTTCTTCTTTTTTTCAGCATGGAATAAACCTATAACTAAGTACTTCTTATGTTTTGTTTTGCCACATTTTAAGAGCATAATTTAGTATAATTACAACTTTTAATGTTAAGTGACATTTTTAAACAACATAACAGTATTGTTCCCTTCACACACAAATACACCTTTATTTTCCCTAATTTTCAATATACTGTATCAAAAATGTCAAACTGTCTTTCATTATAAATGCATATATCACATAGAAAGGACCTCTTCAATACTAAAACAAAATTTTAACATCCATTGAACTATAAAGTACACAATACAATTCAGTTAAATTGTAATATTCACACAAGCCAGAGATATTTATTTCACTGGTGTAACTGAAATACTTTTGTACCATTTAAAAATATGTACAGTATTGTCTTTTTATCAGAAATCTTTGGACCTGGGCATTCAATCACCAGTTTGTATTTGAATTAATTTTTCAATATAAGCATGAAGTCTGTACTTGTGGATAAGTAGCTTTTCCATTAATCTTTTTAAATTTCGTATTTAAATAATGACCACACAGCTACTATTAAAGCAGGAAGTATAGTTCACCTCTGGAATTACAGTAGCTATGCATACATACCACTTAAATGAACGGATTCTTAATTGTGTGACAAAAGTAATTAATTTTTAAATTAATAAAATAAATCATTCTGAAATGAATAATAAAAGATAAAATAAAGAAATGATAACCATAAAACCCCTATATTGGTGAGTCAATTCAATAACTTCAATCACAACATTGGATAACAGCTACATCCAGAGAGAAATAATTAGGAAGCCACAATCTCCCAGCTGCCCTGTCTATTTTAGTACTTTATCTACTTTGAGAACAAATTATGTTATGGCTGATATACAACCATAGAAGAAAATATATAAGTTTATATGAGCCTAATACTGAATATTTTATTGAAGTGTAATGTAAACACTTTGCCTGTTAAAACAGTTCACTATTATGTCAGGTAATGGCACGTTATTGATGTAATCATGAAACAGGTCTCTACTTGGTTGGT